TCTCTCTCTCTCTCTCTCTCTCTCTCTCTCTCTCTCTCTGTCTCTCTGTCTCTTTAACTTTCTCCTCTTTCCTGCCAGGCGAGGCTCGAGCTCTCGAGTGCCAGTTCTGCTCGCCGGAGGCGGCGCTGAGTCAGCGGCCTCGTTTCGCGCTCGACTCGTGATCGGCGATTTTGCGCTCGCCTTCCTCGCCCTCGTGCAGCCTTGAAAGTGGACTGGCTGGTTCGAAAGGGGTGGGCGCCTGTCCCGACGACGTCGCCGAGGTGGCGGGACTCGAAGTGACATCTGCTCGAGCTCCAGACGCCGGGTCGACCGGCCAATCCGGCCACGCGGCACTCCAACCCGACGTTGCCCGGTGACGAGCGGCACTCGGGACTCGGGACCGGAAGGAGGGTCTCGCAGGAAGCGGCCAATCCGCTGCCCCGAACGCCGTCGTCTCCGGACAATGCCGGTCTTCCTTCGAGTCTTTCGGACTGGCCAGCGTTCGCTCCGTCTGTACACGAGTTCGCGCATTCGAACCCGGCTCTTCGAATCTGACCAAATGCACTCTCTTCCCGTCCGTCTGACTGTCTGTCTGTGTACATGTGTGTGTTTGTGCCTATATGTGGCTGTCTGACTGTATGTGTCTGTGTATGTCTTTATGATTGTTTGTCTGTCTCGTTTGACAGAAGTGGGGAGGAGTGACGATCACATCGTGTCGTCTCGCCACTCAAATACGGACCGGGAGCGGCATTTTTGGCGGCAGCAACACGACGATTGCCAAAGTCGTAGGCCTTGAGTCGTCCGGCGAGGCGGCGTCCAGTCTGTGCTTCGTGGTCGTCTCGCGTTGTCTCGCTGCTTCGTGAGGCCTCGTGACGACCTCTCGAAGGTAGAGGCCGTGTTCACGCGAGCTGTCGTGACTCCGACTGGCCAACGGTCTCGTGTCCAGCTCCGATTGGCTGGCCGGTGAGGCATTTTGGTATCCTGTAAAAGTGGGCCCCATGCAGACGAGGCTGATGGATCGAGATGGCGAGAAGAGGACGCCGTCATTTTCGCTTGCTGCAACACCGAGTTGACTCATACCCAGTCTCCTCGGCGACAGAAAAGGAGAGGAGACGACGTCTGTTGAGTCAGTTTCCGGCCGAACCGAAGCAGCAAGTCTCGTGCGACATCAACCGGCCATCGTGATTGTAGTCACGTCGATCCGACGACGCTCCTCTCGCGTGCATTCAACCGAGACGATAATCTCCAGCACACCAGTCCCCGGGCCAGTAGAGGCGAGGTGAGTGTGTACGGGCTCAACTGGCCTTTCCCCATTGGTCCATTGTCTTGCTCCTCCGGCCGATCCTTCCAGAATAGACTTGCGTCTGTCCCGAAGTGACACACAATGTCAGGCTGACAAAGTACCCTTTGACTAATACACGAAGCAGGCTGGTTGGCTTTCGACAACTGCCCCAGTGACTCACCGCGACTCGACTTGCCGTGTCAAAGTAAAAGTTGGTTGGAAGCAAGTTGTAACTGGACGGCATCTGAAACCGGAGGAGTGGAGACTGTTGGATTGTGTGAAGAAGGTCGCGGCTCGCGGTTCACCGACCTCCTTTCGTCTGTCTCGCAGTCGGGAGGCCTGTTTTGCGCAAAACTGCCCAAAATACCAGATCCCGTGAGGCTGACCGGCTGAAATACTACTTACTCACTACTCATGCCCAGTTAAATGGCAAAACGTAGACATAAGAAGATATAAGTAGCACTACAACCGGTCATCTTTCCAGTTTTGCGCAAGAGGCCGGCTGGATCTGACACAATGTGGCTGAGGGTGGGACAAACGAACAGTGGACACGGAGGAGCCGGAGACGCGGGACGAAGATGAGCCGAGGCTTCCTTCCTCGTCGACGCCGCAACGACTCGACAGTAACCACCACCCAAACGCGAGCATGTCTCGGATTGCGGAATGGTCCTTCCAGGCCCGTTGGTCAGACTCAATCGAAGCCTAATACAATATGATTCTTGTATGAGGCTGGTTTTTTTTTTTGAAATGTCGCCTCATCTTCACAAAAGTTGACTTGACGACCGACAAACTGCCGCCACGCGGACCTCTTCATCTTCGTCGTCGGGCGCACAGTTTTACAACTGCACAGAGTGTGATTTGATGAGTGCTAGCCGGATCGCCTTAAGCTACACGTCAACCAGACATGGTTGCCATTCCAGCCTGGCTGACAGTCTCTCGGTAACCGGTCACGCTAAGAGAACACAGTCACAACCGTCCAGAGGCGGTCGTGGCTGCGTCGCCGGTCCGTCGCCTCGTCAAGAGGCCGGCGGGTGGGTCTTCGAGACACCGACGCGGCTCTTCGTGTCGGCCCAATCTGCCGGCGCAGCGGCAGAGGCCGCATTGCGAGTGCCCGGCGTCGGTGCACTCGAGGACAGCAGAGCTCGTGACTCATCGCCTCTGCGTCCAGTCAGGAAGACCGTTTGAGTTGGATCGTTTGAACTGGGGCCGGTCGATACGGGGCCGCCTGACCAAACTGACCGGACTGACCGG